ACGACCTGGCTTACGATCGAGTATATATGGTAATTATGGTGTTTTGATCGTTTGCATAACTTTTGTCAACAAAACTCTGGCCTAATTCCAGTAGGATATTGATTAATATGGGAAAAAATTGTTTATCAAAACATGGATCATTTTTATTAGGTCAATATACGTTAATTAGGGTAGTCAGAGATCTTAGCCTTCACTAGCAGTGATCTACCCTATTCATCTTTATTTACATCTAGAATTTGTAAATTGAATTTTTTGTGAAACAACACTGCTACACCTTTGGCTGAGGAAAATTATTAAAACACTCCTTCCTCCATGCAACCTCTCCTAAGTTTCTCTACCTTTAAATGATCATGGTAGCTTTCCTATAAGAAGATAATATCCGCTGTCAGTGGGTTTAGATTCTTTCTTGGGTATTCACCCCTTTGATGTTCAAGAAAACACAATTTATACTATTAGCCATAAGGAGGACGCAAGTCAAACATCTCTTTATCAGGCAGCTGAACAGTATCAGTAGTTAGGTCACTGTTAGTTCCACATCTAGGAAAAGTATATCTGGGTCCCCCTGACACCCCGGGGACATGAAGGGGAGGAATAAGGGTAGAAGATAAAGCGAACCAGGCAAGGAAAAAGATAGGCATAATGTTGGGAAAAGATAGAAAAACAGAGAGCGGGAATGAAGTCATCAGAAATGACCAAGGATACCTTACAAAATATATGACAAACATCCAAACTGAAGTAGGACTTAAGTCCAGGAGGTAGTTACAAGGGGGTAGTCTCATCACTTACTACCCCCACCCCCAAAATATCCATTTGGGGTATAACTGGATTCCCTGTAACTTTATAAGGAAAACGGTTTCATATCAATGGAGGCATGATTTCTGCACCATTCACCAAACAAACAAACAAAAAACCACAAGGGGGGGGACTGCTAGTGTCTAAATTTAAGAACAAGATTCTGATGGATATATGGGAAAGTTATACAAGTTGTTTAAATAATCTTATTCTAATATAACTAGATTACTTACAGGTACAGGTTCATTACCAGAACAGTTCTGCCTAATCTTTGCCCTCTAGAGCCTTGACCATGCTGGATTATAGTGTGAACGCCATTGCCCAATGGTTAGATCAGTAATGTCAATCAACAAAACATTTCAACTCATTTCATTAAGAAAAAAAAAACACTAAAGAAGAGAACCTGAATGAATATTATTTAAAGAAAACTGACCCTCATAACATTCTCAATAATTTGGTGAATCATAACCAGCAATAGTAATTATTCTTGGATAGGATTCCTTTACAGCTGGGGAACTGAAAGGATATATCATTAAATTGAAATCTTCATTACATTGTTTACATATGGTATAAGTGTACATTTAGGGCAAATGGATTGAGTATTTCCAGGTTTACTATAAACTCAAAATCTGGGAAACTAAATGGGGATAAAACAAAGTAAAATAATTGATGGAGGGGATGGGGAAGATGAAAAAGAGGGGTGGGGGTGCTAGAGAAGGTACCAGGATGGATAGTGCCTTAGACAGAAAACGAAGTCAAACTTCTCTATTGAACTTTGCCAATTCAAGAGTGTAAAAAGTCTCCAGGTCCAGTTAAGTGATTTGCTTGGTATCAGGATCCCAAAGATGGATTTGGTTCCGGAACACTACAATTATGAGTGTACATAAGTGGTGGGCAGTGGTGTAGGGTAAACGCAAGTAAAGCAAATGTGCCAACATTGTTACAGTGTTGCCAAAGTTAAGAGCTAAATTCCAACACTGGACTGAATTCCATAGTGACTGAATAAAGTATATTTGTTTTAATGTATCCCAGCTGTATCTTCTGTGGGGGTTTTCTGCAGTAGTGAGGATCAGACACTTTTCAACTTCCTCTCCTATCAAAAAACTAAGCATCTTACCCTCGTTTTTAACTTTCAAACTATCAGGGAAGGAAATAAAGTAGTCTAACCCAACCTTTTGTCTAAGGTCCTTGATCTATTGAATTTAGTCATCTTTCCCACCACATCTTTGGTGTAATATGGAAAAATCATCAGCTTTTCCTTTTCATGTTAGGGCTTTTTAAAGAATGAGTTTCTTAATATATTATTTTAAACATCTTACAGTTAAGGCCTGGGGCTTTGCATTTGGAGGGGTTTTGGTGCAAGAGAGGTGTGGGCTCTCTCAATATCTACATTCTGATCAGGGGGAAGACACAAAAGCTCTAGCAGCATAGTGGATAAAAATTCCAGAGGCCTCCCTTTTTCCATCTCCTCTGGAAGACCCACCAATTCTCAGATTGTTTCTCCTTGATCTTCCTTTGAAATCATTAACCTTTTCCTACAGTGCTTTAATAGCCATTTCCTGTTGCTTTGAGATTATATTCATGGTACTCACTGTGTCTTTTAGCAAGGAGAGTCTATTCTCAGCTTCCCCGTAGTCTTGATTCCAAGCTTTGCAAATTAGCTTGATGTGTACTAGTAATATGTTTGATCTCAGTTATATCTTGTGATATTTTTCTCAAGATGTCCATTCTCTTGAGATTTGTTTTAACCAGTCCATAATTTCATCTAGTCTCAAAGTGGTAGACTCTCCTGGCTGCAGGAGGGCCGTCTGACAACCTCTGTTTTTTAGGATTTTGTGGAAATGTTACAGACAGTGTGAATCCTCCTATTATTATTATTATTAATAGTCTTATTCCTCTTTTTTGGTAGGCAAGTTTCAGATTTCTATTATAGGACTTTCATGCACAAGACTTTTGTCAGCACACAATTTTTATTCTGATATTTAATAAATGTGTCAGGGCAAATTTAAAAAGCATCTATTGAATGGAAAACTTCTGGCATTCTTTGGTTTTCCATCAAAAGTAGAGTTAACTGTGCAGCTTGTGAAGAATATCTCTGCTCTTTACATTATCACTTTTGGAAAGGATAGGGACTGTGGCTGGTCTGGATGTATATATAGTAACACGTAAGGAGTACATTCCTTGACGCCGTCTCCAGAATATCAAATTTGATTCATTTCATGGAACATGTGGGACAGCCCCTTTCTGGATTTTGGGGCAGCCTGAATCTGCTGCCTATTAGGCTACCTAAGGTCATGGCTCTTCTGAGCATACATATGGGTGCAAGCATCAAACAGCAGTTAGCTATATACATTTAACTGGTAATGTTCAAGTGTAGGTGGAAGCTAGAGGATTAAGTAAGGAGGAAGTATGCTTTATTATTACTTATTTATATCACTCAATAGATGTGCATGGTGATTCACAGAACAAAGAGACAGATTCCCCGTCCAGAAAAGCTTACAATATAAAGAACAGAGGAACAAGAGTGGTTGTTTGAACTTGGGAAAGTGATTGCATAAGTGGGAGGACAAGAGTGTTATATGGGCCACATGGGAAGCTAGCATTGGAGTCTTGGTGGTTAAAATTTTTATGTTACTAATCATTTTCATATGTTTAGAGCTATAACTTTATAAAAGAGCTTGAAGAACTTTGTTCTGAGATGGACTTGAGAGGAACGAACGCATGGGGAGCAGCATGAAAAAAAGCACGTAAGTGGCTGTGCGAGAAGAATATAAAGTTGGCACCCAGATTAACAATTTGCATTGTGCAAAAGGATAATAAGCACAGCTGATGATTATATATGCTAAAGATTATGATAAATTAAGAATTAATTTAGCAGGTACACTATTTTTAATTCATTTCACTGCACAGCAGTAGGTATAATGTCAATGTGTTAAATGTGTGTCACATTTCCCATGGCCTCAAAACTGTTCTACAAAACCTGCAACTATACTCTCAAAACAAATAATTAGGTGAATAAATGCAAAGCAGATGTGACTTAATTTTACATGTGCAGTTTTGGGGGCAACCAAATAATTGTTCCTCAAATTGTCAGTTCACAATGAAGATACTTTTAAAAAAATATTTTCTGTTGCATAAAAATAACCTTAAAATGAAATTGACTAGAAATTAACTATGAACAAAAGTGAACGTGACTGTATTTTCATTTGCCAATCTTGAGAAAAATGAAAAAACCCATAGCATAAGAAGTAAAACGTAAATTATTTTAAATCCTTTCATTTATAAAAGTTAAGAGCAGGAAAGGAAATTTGCTTTTTTAAAACAGTGATATCTAACAGTGTAGCATACTGTGAAAGGGACAAAAACAGTGGGCACATTAAGTCTCTTGCATTAAAGAACAGCTGTGCAAAGGACCCCAAAATGTGGCCGCTTTTTGTCACAACTATGACAAACATAAATCAGCAGCATCCACTAATGATGATGTCCTTCTGCCTCTCATTCACATTTCCATTAGAAACACCGTTTTACTAATACCTTTTTCATTTGGGTAGAAATTTTGATTTTGGGTGAAACTTTGTATTAAGTTTTGAGATAAGAAGCCAGTGTCTTTTTTTGGTAAAGAGAATTTAGTGCCAGGAAGATCAAAGGTGGCCAAGTGATGGCCCTGGAGACTGAAGTACTCAGTTTATTCACAGAATAGGTACAACAGCAGTGCCAGTGTAAGTTTCCTCATACTACCTGCTAATGTTCTTTCACCCTTAGAGGACGTCAGGGCTGAACTGTAGCTCATGCAATAGGCCCATTCAATCCTTGGCCTCTGCTGAGAATATAAACAAAGGTGCCAATTGTGATGGTAGTTTTTGTGATTTGGATACTGGCCCACTAGGAATCATCTAAGGGCTATCAGCTGTTCTCCCCCATTTCCCTGCTTGTAACTTTTTGGACTGATGTATTATTTAACATGTGCTATATTACATCAAAAATCCATTTCTAAGTATTTCCATGTAACGCATGGCTCATCAAAAAAGTGGCAACAGAGTCAAAGGGCTGTCTAATAATGACTATATTATTATGAGAACATATAAAACACACATTCATTAAAATTATTGAATCTGCATTGTTGTGTCATTCTCATCAATTATGATTTTTAAAGTTACGTATTCACATGTTTAAATACCATTATTAAACATATAATGAAAGAAGCATACTTTTGAAATCTCCATCCCCAAATGTCAGTGGATAAGCTCCTGGCTTTTCAATCTTGTACATTTCTTCTATAAAAATGATTTTGCAATCATTTATTACGTCTTCTGGGCCTCTGGGGAGGGAAAAAAAAAAGTATATTTAATTTTGTTTCTTTGATTCCTGTTGCTATAATTAATAAACCTTGAGGAAGAGCTATAGCTAATAATCAGTGCCAGTTCTGATTTTAAAAATCCATAGAATGTTGGACTGTGGTTGTATTTACTTATTGCTCATTTTAAGCTGTCACAACCATTACATGCAGCACTGAATAATTTGGTCTAAACTGACAATAATAATTCAACATAACTATATAACTTTTAACAAAGTCAAAACAATTAATAATTTACATCAGCACAAGGTAAATTAAATAAGCTAAGGAGTATTATCATATTGCAGATCAGCTAGTGCAAATATCAAAGGCAGCAACTGATATTTCATTCGTTGAATGTATTTTTTTTTTTTTTTTAGTTGTTTCTCAAACAGTTTTGTTATCCAAAGTTAGCAACAGCAGACCAGGCAAAAGCAAAAGCTTGCAATGGCAGACCAGGCAAAATCCAAAACACTCAAGGGGCATTATACATTATAGCAAACCTAAAAGAATCCTTATTGGCAATGATATAATAAAATTATACTGTTAGCAGTGACAATGAATAGTGACTTATAACTAGTGTAATAATATGCACTACTGAACTTAAAAGGGAAGAAAAATAATATGGTAAATAGTTTAAATTCTCTTTGTACAAAAATCCTTTCATACGTTTTCAGTGTCTAAATAGTCAAGTTTCTTTTAAGTTTCACTTTAACGCTGACTTCCTTGGATTTCTAAATGTTTCAGAAAACTAAGGCCCCAAATCCAGCAAGAACACATACAATATGTACTTTACATATTCTTACACCCTTGACCTCAGTGGGACTTTTTTGACAGTGTCACAGTGCACAAACTCCCAATGGTGCACAGCTAGTACTTCAAAGAACAAAACACTCATGTTAAATGAGGTGATGGAGGGCATTAATGAGGAGTAAAGATAAAGATTTTAATCTCATACCTCCTACTCCACTTAATTTTCCCACTCTCCCAACTGATTTTAACTGCCAAGGGTGACTGACAGAAAACTTTAGTCCCTCACCTTGCCAAGATGTCTTTTCAGCTGCTGTTTGTGGATCTCTTGCCACTTTAAATTTTACAATATAAAACTAAATTAGGACTTGTTCACAGCATTACCAATTTAGAGGCAAATCCTGCAAGTACTTACTACTGAGCATAGTCCCATTGACTTTAGTGGGCTACACCTATTAAGTGGTTACAGAATCAAGCTGTTATACCCAAGATGGCAAGTTAGTTTCCTAATTGTAATTTTTATTTCTCATTATTGAGGGCATCCACTGATCTGGACATGACTTTATATATTAGACCCGCTCATTCCATCAGTGTGGAGGAAACCTGTGCTCCCTACCCCCATCAGAGTTTAAACTCCCTCTGCTGGACTGCTGCAGCACCATATTCTGATCCCAGAAGAGGACATCCAAAACTGAAACTAAATAAACAACTTGGTAGAAAAATTTAACAATACTGTAGACAGGATTATTAGAATTAAAAGAACAACGCATTTTAATCAAGAACATGGTGATGTGTGTAGGGAGAGTTTATTCAGACATGGGAAGGTCCTTTCCATGAAAGGAAACTACATTATACTGACTAGACATTACCTATAGGAATGATCTCTTATAGTTTCTACTTCCTGTGGGAGCAAAAGAAACAAATACAAGTTGACATTTTTCTAGAGGGATTCATAGCAATGGACAATGTATGTATTCATATAATTTTAGTAATTTTAATTATATTTGCTCGCCTGGTTTAGCTTCAATGAAGCCAAGAATACCAAAAGCTCAACAAAGGGGAAAAAAATTATTATAGTGTTTAGGAAAGGAATTGCAAACTTCAAGCAGCCACACTGCAAGTGTCAAAGTATAAAGTTTTATGGTTCTCTGTCCAAAATTCTGAAGAACCTTTTGCAGAGTAACTTTGATGCTTCCAACAGGCATCTCAGTTGCTGTTTTGCTTGTCTGGTATACATTCACTCTGAGCCAAATAGAAACTGAGTATTGAGGCCCTGAAGCACTGTTTGAGACCTCCTATGAAAAACAAACAACGGTAGCGGACTTTCACCACTGTCAGACAGATTTTAAAGCCCATTTCATACCAAAAGTGTGACATTCTTTTCTTACTGATACTTGAATGTAGGGCAAAAAAAGAGGAATGAAACAGATGGATTTAATTTGAATTCTGTTCTTTTTTGGTTTTGTATAAGATCAGGAAATGGATTAAGTACCATCTTTTCAAGGAAGAATTGAAAATGGGTTTTTTAATTGAAAAAACTCCCAGTTCAATAACTCTCCTGCCTGAAAGTAACTGCTATGAGGAAACAAGGAGAGGCTTCCAGTCTAGGATTAAAAGGGGAGTTTTGTATGGTTCTGCTGAACCAGGCTGAAAGTGCCACGGCAAAGGTCTGCACTAGAAGTAATTGTAGCAGAGCTCCAATTTTGTGGCTCCTCAGAAGTCTCCGTGCACATGGAGCACCTTTTAACATGCAGATTAGTCAATTTACTCATCACCATAATGCAGTACAACAATCAGAGAGAAGCAACTCAATGGGTAGCTTCATTTGGAAAAGAAATAATGACCTGGAAGCGGATTCCCTTAGAGGGAGAAAGATTTCTCTCATTGCTGCCCATTTTTTAAAAAACATTTTTATCCATTTAGATTTAAAATAAGAGAAGCTTTTCCAAGGATCTAGGTGCCCTAGTAAGTCATTACAGATACAATACAGTAACTCCTTGCTTAACGTTGTAGTTATATTCCTGAAAAATGTGACTTTAAGCGAAACAATGTTAAGCAAATCCAATTTCCCCATAAGAATTAACGTAAATGGAGGGGGGGGGGGGAAGTGTTAGGTTCCAGGGAAATTTTTTTCAGACAAAAGACATTATATATTTTACACACACACACACACACACACACACACACACTATAAGTTTTAAACAAACAATTTAATACTGTACACAGCAATGATGATTGTGAAGCTTGGTTGAGGTGGTGAAGTCAGAGAGTGGAAGAGGGTGGGATATTTCCAAGGGAATGCCTTACTGCTAAATGATGAACTAGTACTCAGCTGAGCCCTCAAGGATTAACACGTTGTTAATGTAGCCTCCCACTCTACAAGGCAGCACAAATGGAGGGAGGGAAGACAACATGGCAGACAGAGACAGAGACACACACCCTGGGTGAGAGAGAGAGAGAGAGAGAGAGAGATGTGCATCGCCCCTTTAAGTACGCTGACCCCACTCTAAGTACATTGCCTTTTTAAGTAGATCAGCAAGTAGAGACACCAGCTGCTGCAAGCAAGCTCCCTCCATCCTGAGCCCTGTCGTGTCCCCCCCGCTCTATGGAGATGGGGTAAGCGGGGTGCAGGAGCAGGGGGACATCCTGACATTAGTACCCCTCTTTCCCCCACCCCGCACAGCAAACAGGAGGCTCCTGGAAGCAGCTCCAAGGCAGAGGGCAGGAGCAGCACATGGCAGTGCGGGGATGGACAGCTGAACTGCCCGGCAATTGATAGCCTGCTGGGCGGCTGCCGCACAGGGAACTTAGGGGAGCTGCCGGTCCACCCTGGTTCCAAGACCCCACCAGATAGCTCCAACGGGCTGCTCTTTCTGCAAGCAGTGGACAAAGCAGGCGGCTGCCAAACAACGTTATAAGGGAGCATTGCACAACTTTAAACGAGCATGTTCCCTAATTGATCAGCAACGAAACAACGTTAACCGGGACAACTTTAAGTGAGGAGTTACAATGAAATCCTAGCAGCATCTATGTAATCATTTCAACAGGAACTCAGACAGACACATACAGCAACTCTTTTTCCCCGACATCACTCTTACAGGAAGCATGCCCTCTGCCACACACACACACACACACACACTCTCTCTCTCTCTCTCTCTCTCACTTTTGCAGCATGCCAATTAAGGTCACTAAATTCAGGCTATTTCAGACAAAGAGAGCAAGTTTCACAGCCTTGACAGAGAACCTCTTTTATAATGAGCGGGATCCAGCTCAGGTGCTCCGGCTGGCTATAGTTGTGGTAATATAGCACAGGGAAAGAGGCGATCCTTCAGGTAGAACTTAAAGCTAGGACTACAATGGATGAGTTCATAGTACTGAATTGGTTCTCTAATTGCACTACCAGAGGCAGAACGTCTGGCCGAAAGTGACTTGACCCAAGCCCCAGAGGTTTCATGGAAGCATTTGACCTACCTCCAGTATTTTCAGGAACAAAAACAAAGCCCAGATTTCTCAGATTAGAGGCAGGTCCCCCAGAACCTAAGCTCATTGTGGTGGAATGAGCATATCTAAACCACAAATAAGGTCTAAAACAGTGAATGTATCTGTATGAAAACTATTATTAATAGGACAGCTGGGTTACTAGGTGATGGGAGAAAGGAGAAGAGAGGGAAGGTTCTCTCATGGATTGGTAACTGGTTAAAAGATAGGAAACAAAGAGCAGGAATAAATGGTCAGTTTTCAGAATGGAGAGAGGTAAATAGTGGTGTCCCCCAGGGATCTGTACTGGGCCCAGTCCTATTTAACATATTCATAAAACAATCTGGAAAAAGGGGTAAACAGTGAGGTGGCAAAATTTGCAGATGGTACAAAACTACTCAAGATAGTTAAGTTCCAGGCAGACTGCGAAGAGCTAAAAAAGGATCTCACAAAACTGGGTGACTGGGCAACAAAATGGCAGATGAAATTTAATGTTGATAAATGCAAAGTAATTCACATTGCAAAACATAATCCTAACTATACATATGCAATGATGGGGTCTAAATTGGCTGTTACCACTCAAGAAAGATCTTGGAGTCATTGTGGATAGTTCTCTGAAATCATCCACTCAATGTGCAGAGGCAGTCAAAAAAGCGAACAGAATGTTGGGAATCATCCAGAAAGGGATAGATAATAAGACAGAAAATATCATATTACCTCTATATAAATCCATGGTACACCCACATCTTGAATGCTGC